AATGAGTTTTTTGGGTTCATTGAGAACATGGTTGTTGTTCAATAATAAAATTATTCCTCAAAAATACAACTTGCCTAATAATTCTGCACTCCCTGTATAGTCATGTGAAGTGAATGTGATTGACTTTCTTCTATTTCTGATCACCATGTCACTGTGAATCGCTTTCATTGTGGACTCAAATTTACACAGAGAGGCATACAGGCTCACTCTCACGTTCACAGCTATGGCCAATTTAGAATCACTACTTAACCTAATCAACACGTCTTCGGTCTGTAGGACAAAGCCAGAATATACAGAGGGAAATTACAAAGGAACAGCAACACCCTATTGTCCCCAGTTCTAAAGACCTTGGACACACTACATGGTTTTATTCTTCACTTTTCAGTCACTGGCTTTCACCTCCAAGATAAACTGCTACTCTGAGGACATTTGTGTTTAAACTTGAATCTTCTTATTGTCTAACAAGCAAGCTGGCAAAGGTCTTCTCTTACTTGTTCTCCTGGCAGTTCACAAATGCCAAATGCATAACTCCTGGCTTCCAACTTGAATTTTCTGACTTAACCATGCAGTCACCTGTACGCTTTCCCAACACATAGAGGAGATTAAAATAGTGGAATACTGTGATGAAATATGTAAGACCCATGTGCAGCACCAAAAACCTTCTTGCCACTTCTTTGGTCATTAGTGATTACCACAGCTGACCACAGTTGAATAGATGATGACGACTGGTCTGCAACCACTTGCAAATTGCCTACCAAGCGATAAGAGCATTTGCCTTCAGAGCAAAAATTGAGCTTTTAGAAATGTGTGCATGTTAGTGGTAGGGCACAACCAAAGCAACACAAAGGTTTTTGTCTCTGCACCCTCTTTGGGACCTACTTCACCCAAGCAAAAGCAAGCAACTTCCCAAAACCACTTGCCAACCAGATTGGGAATACACATTTTCCCCTACTAACCAGAGGTTGACAAATGGTTGCTTACCAGTTTCTATGCTTTACTGACCAAACAAAAACTGATCATATCTCATCAAATTGATTATGAGATATAGTTAAGTGGCTTTTTATGGTCACTGTAATTCTGCTGACAGCCTAAGGAGGAAGAAGAAACTTCCGGACAGCTTCAGTCTCCCGTCAAAATAAAATTGAATTGTTAAATAATCTAAGCCATATCAAAAAAATGTCACAAATATCATCATCATTAATAAAATGCTTACAGCAATAGAAGTATATCCCGGAATAGGAGGAGGGTATGACATGTACCTTTACAAGAATGTGCTTTACATGTTATTTTTTCATAAACCTCTTCCTTAGTTTTACAATGGCCATGGCAGCACTTTTAAACTTCTTAATTCATCCCTGCTGCATCTTTAAATTTGTTACTTAATCCTCAATAAAACAGAATAATGGAATATCCATTAAGCTTATACTCATATAACACTCATAGATATCTATTGCAATGCAACTCAAAGCAACCTGATCACAGCCTTGTACCAAAGCCTAATGTAAAGGTGGCAATCTCATTTTTAAACCTTCTTCCTTCTCACTGATAAAAAACAAACAAAAAGGCAGCTCATCGCCATGCCAACAATCTCTCTCATCCCGTTTCCTTCTCTGCCTCTCCCCAGCATGCTCTAAATGGCTCACACCATCTCTTTTTCTGCACAGAGGAAATACATTAACTATTCTATCAACATTTAGAGGTAAACATTCTTGGCAAATTTTTCTTCAAATGACACCCAATGATGACACTGGGTGAGAGCACAAACAGACAGCTGATACTGAGAAGGGTATTTCTCTCACTTCTAGTTCTAGGCTTTCTGTCAGTCTTTTGGATTCTCTTGGTTGTCTCTTTTCATTAAATTTACTGGAAGACAGGGAGACAAATGGAACAACACTCCTAAAATGCCAAGAAATGAAAGCCTTGCTACCTCAAGTACTATTTGAGGCTGATTCAAAGCACATGCTGGTGCAATGTGTACTACATAACAGCCTCCAGAATATTCAGAAATGCTGAATAAAACCCCTGCAGATTTACAGTAAAAATAATAACACAAACAAAACCACACTGCTTTTCATGGCCTTTCATACACACAAAAAATAAGAGAATGTGATGCTTCCTGATCACTGTGATTAACACGTGATATAACACATGATACACAATCTACAGCTGTTTCCTGAACAAACATGCAGCTTCTTTTTAGCTCAAATGCTATAAAAGTACACTGCAATTAGCTGTACAGCACCAAACAGTGGCCGACGTTAGCGCCTAGCTAATAGGTATAGCAGCACGTTTAGCTCTGTGTGTATTACATGCACATACCAGCTACTATCAGAAAACTTTGCACCACAAATGAACACAATCACATAAGTATAGTCATAATGAATTAATTGGCCTAAACCAAGTCGCTGTTTTGAATGTTCTTATAACTTGTTGCTGTTGCTTCTGCTTTTTTCAGAGCAGCCATTGTGATTTCTTTAAGTACAGAGAGCACTAGTTCACTCTACCTTCATTAGGCCTTTAAGAAAGAATGTAATACTTGCAAAGCTAATATAATAATTAAGTAGATTTCCCAACCTTTTCATTACACATTATTCTGTATTCAACTTTGAAAATGTACAAAAGTGGACTTTACACTACAGGAAGCATAGAGGGAAACAAGATGGGTGTGGTTTGGCCACGTAGGCAACTAAATGACAACGGAGATAAGACTGGTAGTTATCAAGAGGACAGAAATGGCAGTTGTTTGTGTTGTCTTCTCTGGGTTTAGCTAATCATCCTTGTCTAGTAGTTTTTAGGGCTGTGTCCTGTGCCTCCACTTAGCCCAGAACATATACTTTTTTCTACAAACCAAAACAGCCCTAAGAAATGTCCTAAATAGTGGTTCCTGCTGTCCTGACACACAGAAAAAACAAGTTCCTTTGACAGGAAAGGGCCTAACATCAGTTCACCCAGTCCTAGCACACAGTCACCCGCTAGCTAACAAAAAAGAATAAGCTAATTTAACATTAGACATAAACTGCTTATGCAACTATAAAAACTTTATACACACAAGGCTGTGTTTTCTAGTGTTCGTGTTTTGAGATTAATTTGAAAGGTGTACTTACTTGCAGTCAGTGTGTGTTGGTCTATAGTAGAAAGCCGGAACCTTCTGCTCATATTTGGCCTTGGCTGCACTGTTTCCCATTGCAGCCATTAACTGAAAGGAAAACAGAAAGAAAAACCTAGTCATCAAAACACTGTCCGCAGCTCAATATTTAATACTGCATTTCAGATATCAAGGTTAAATGGAAAACCAGATACATTTTATCTACCCAGTTTTTAATGAACCATAATTTTGCTATACTTTACTTGGGGACATAACTGCATTAAGTTTATTATATTTATAGTAATAGCAGCACCAGTAATATTGGTTTTAATCCTATTACTATCTTTAACAATAATAACAGGAAGAAAAAATTCACATTTAACTTTAAATTAGATTAAAAACAGTGAGCTATAGCACAGAAAACCTTAAGTATATTAGAACTTGTTCACTTGACAATAAGGCTCTGGCTTTCTTATGGGATTAAGGGTGGAAATGGCCACACTGCATTGGGACACATTTTCCTCCTGCCCTTGTTCCCTCCGTCGTACATTTCATCCTAGGATAATCCCTTAGCTCAATCCAGCTGGCACAATCCCTCAGTACGCTTCTTCTTATCCTTTAAGGGACTTTGGGGAATGATGCAGCACTGTGGCATTTTATTGTGAACGTCAAATAGAAGCAGATTTCTAAAGAAAGCCACTGAAATTCAGCTCATGTGACGAATGATGAATTTGGCACCTTGAATGAACATGAAATCAATCAATGTTGAATCAGCTGTTCCTGTCATTTGGTATAATCACCTCTGTACCACATCCATTCACTGTATTCCTCTCCTTCATGTGAATTTTTAACTCCACCAGACGGCTGAAAAAAAAACACTCGCAACTGTCTCAAGCTTCTGCGGAGCATGACCTTCAGTTACGGCTAAACCCAATCTTCATGATAACATGGTTAACGCTGCAATAGCACATGAGACTGGATGACTTCTCGTTATCTACAGTCTAATTTATTATAGATCCAACTGCTTAAGCACATACATATCCATAAAAATAGCAAAGCTGATTCAATTTATATACTGATAAATATGCAGCAGTGTGCAGTGTAGTCTGGGCAAGGATAAAAAAAAAAGAACGTGCATAATGCATAAAGTGTAACTGAGATTGAATCAGCCACACAAAGCAAGGTGAAAGCTCCAGCTCGACTTCATCCTGGTAACTTATGAGACCCCAGTTAGTACAAGTAATGACAAAAGCCCACAAAGGAGGACTGCTTCCCTTGATCCTGCTTGCCTGCCCCCTCACTTATTTGCATTTAGATGCAATATTTGAGTCATGGTTTTGGGTTTCTGTTGTGCCACTTCCCATTTTATTTTCTCATTTTTAGTGATGTATGTATCTAGTTACTTTGTTCTTTTTTCACATCAGTTTTCACCAGTTACATACTCTTTTACTATATATACTTCTTTGTCTCTCTGTAACATGCCAGATTGTCTTGGAAGTTAAGCTTTCTAGACAGTTTCCTAGTTATATTCCTCATATTCTCTTCCTGGAGTTGTATTCCTTGTGCTTCTTGTTCATATCCTCATTGTTACCCTTCGGGACTTTTTTCTGCACTTTTTCTTGGTCTTCGCCTGGATTGCTAGCTCTGTCGGTGTATGACCAGCCTTTAATTAAAAATGAGATTCTGGTGTATTATGTGGTGTCTTATGTTATATTTTTGAGCCTGCTCCGTTGCGCCATTAAAAGCAAGGGTAAGATAATGTGTCCAGATACAGATTAAACATTAGTACATGGTGTAAATAAAGCCTAATGTGGTATTATAATTCCAAAACAAAATGAAGTAATATCCTTGTGATTTGTAGCACCTAGCTGAACACAACCACAGACACATTTCCACTGATCCCAATAGAAGCCATGTTCAGTTAATAAAGTGAATACTGCTGTGGTTCCTCCGATTACTGACATTTTATTGGTATGGGACCAAAACAGAGCTCCAGAGGTCTCAACAGTGATCTCAAAATCATCCTAAAACACTCCCAATTATATTAACCCAAACGCACGTCACAAAGCCCTCGTGTATTCCCGTACCTCAATCAAATGTATCCCCCATCCGCCAATAAATGTGCTTTTGTTCTGGTTTTATCCAAATACTCTGTCCTTCCTGTGTATTCTTCTTCCATTTTCCTTGCTAACACCCTCACTGCTCACCCCTTAAGTCAAATCCCCATAACATCCCAATTACTGTCCTCCCACATCTTCAACCTTCCTGGTGACTCACATCACCGCCCCCTGAGTCCCTTTTTGTCACAGACTGACAGTCTTTGAGCGACAACACAGTTTCATTCACGGACAACTTTATTTATCCCCAGCAGAGTACAGAAGTCCAAATATGCATTCTGTGTTTACACATTTGCAGGGGCGGTACTAGGATGCCTTCAAGATGTATTCTGACCGGGACATGATCGCAAGGCACACAAGGGAAAAGAGTAAACTATTATTTTACTAATAATGCTTATTGATCCATATGGTGAGATATTCTCCTTCCACTGGGAAGTCAGAGTTAGGCTGAAGGTCAGAATTATGGAGCTGGTTAGAATTCACATATCAGGGCACAGGCATCACAGCAAATCTAAGTATTATTGGAAGATCAATACTGGCTGTATCAAGCCACATGAGACTCTGACTCTGATCATGCAGCCTTTTGTTCTATGCTGAAGAAAAACACTATGGCTAATCTAGAAATATAATGAATGTGTCAACAGACAGAGATGCCCTGGGTTTCAAAAACCCACCACTTTTCCTTTAAATGACATCGCTCCTCCTCATTTTTTTAATTCTGTCACATTATCCATAGTCCATATCACATGTCCATTGACTGGGTTGTTTCCATAGAAACAATAGTGATGCTTAAGCTTCAGTTACCATGGTTTTTGTTTTTGTCTGAATGTATTTGGTACAGTCACATATCAAATATGCACGCTTCTATTGGGATTTGCACATATTCGTGAAGAATTAAGAATTCTAGCAGTTATTTCAATCGACTCATAACAAAATATAAACATTTAAACTCAGCTGATATAAAACATTGATAGTTTATTCACTTCTCTCAGTTAATAAACTGTTTGGCTTGAAGTTACCCATAGGCAGCAAAGATTAACGTTTGTACCGCCGCCATCTTGGTTTTAAAAAACTGGATGTAACAAAAAAGAGCAATTCTGATTGTGAAACTGCTTGCTCACTGGGTAATGACTTGCCTTTCCACGTTGCTAACTAACATACCATGGATAATATCCCTTTTTGGAACACAGTATGACCCAAAAGTGACTGAGCCCATAAATTCATAAAGAAAGTTTTTACAGAAGTCGAGACAGAAAGCTGCTTTCCCATAGATTTCTATTCAGGTTCCTCATGTGATGTCATGCGGAAGTGACACAGTCACTGGTTGTATCACCTCCAGTGATACATCATGTATTCCCCCACTGGTTGGCAGTGGTTTCTGGAGGTTGCTGGCTCCTGCCAGCTGAAATCAGTTGCCAACAATATCCTGGTGAATTCTTTGGTTGCTAGCAGAATCCCAGCACTAATAGTTCCTATTAGCCGAGCAATAATACGACTTGAAAAAGTGTGATAAAAACTGGAAATGAAAAGTTTGTTGTCAAAGTAAAAGTTGTACCTCAGCAGTGGCCAATATGTTTCAAAAGGCACAACTTTGAAAGCAAATGGTCGATTTAGCAATAAGCTAGCAACCAAAGCAAACACAAGGGGGTTTTGCTTACTGGTTGAGGAGTACACATTGTTGCCAAGTGACATGTGGCTTGGGGGGTCACTGATTGGTCTCTAGGCCACGTGACAGGGGCTTTAGCAATCATTCTCCCAGCAACTGCCATTAGCCTCCAGCAAACACTCACAACCATTTGGCAAATAGTCTTGTTTCCATTGCTTTTGCAATCGTCATGGTGTTAACTAGTTGACTTCAAAGGTATGTGCGATTTTAGGAATGACACATTTCAAAACACACAAAATGTAAAACTAGGAGCCATTTTACTAAAACAAGTGCAAGAGCGACTCAAAAGACAATCCTAACAAAAGGGACTGTTTGCTACAACTGTTAACACCACCACTTTAGTTATGATGCTACAAGTTGCTAAAAACAACCATCTCTGGTGCTAAAACATGAAGCCAAGCCACATGTGTGAAAGTCTAAAGTTCCCCAAACTGTCATTAGTTCTAAAATGACCCCACAGATATTAAAAGCACAGCCTGCTACAAAAATAATTTTGGTCTCTATGGCTATTTTCCTCTTTCTTGACAACTGTACAAAGATGAATAATAATATAAGGCATCCATTTAGATTGCATGAAAGCTTATGTTTATGCAATATTTCAGCTGTAGCTGCCACGAATAATGGTGATGAAAAAAAACATACTGCTACCTCGTTAGCTAGTCGACTAAACTGAGTGGCTCACTTTACAACTTGACCATTGTTTACAGTTTTTGCTTTCGTAGGTTTTAAAAGCAACTTTCTCACAACTAATACTCGTATGTATGATACATTATAGTGTTTCATGTGTATATTATTCTACAGTTGCAGAAGACTCAAAAATATTTTACATCAGCTTTAGCTAATTTCATAACAATCCACATCTAAAAGTTTGTCCATTTATGTCTAACCAAAGAGATTGTAAAATGGATTTTTAAAATAATTAGTTCACAAACTATATGATTAATAATACAATGATTTCCTTTGCATTCCCTTTTGAATTGACACTGGATGGCTTTTTCCACCAGGTTTGTAAAATAAATAAAAATCAATTAATGTTTAAATCTCTAGTCTCTAGTTCCAAAGTTGCTGGCAGATTTAGCTACCTTCAGACAGAGGACAGGCTAGTTGTTTAGCAATCCCTGAATATCAGGTGATCTCACTGTCTGCCCACATCAGCTGATGGCTTAGCTGATACCTTTCTCCATGTCCAACTGACAAATCAGACTCAGACTGCGGGTTTACTTGTGGTTCCTCGGGTATTTAAAAGCAGGATGGGAGGCAGAGCCTTCAGCTTTCAGATGCCCCCCAACCCCCAGTTTGTATTTGGGAGACACACCTTCTCTACTTTTAGAGACACTGACACTGACCGTCCCTTAGTTATACTACAATAGGTCTATACTGCTAAGGGGCTTCCCAGGATGCACTGAGTGTTTCTTCTTCACTCACCTCTTTCCACTCTGTGTTTATACACCACTTTGCAATTAATCAATAGTTACTGTTAATCTCTAGCTCTACACCGCTACCTGAACCTGGTTTATTCCTGTTAAAAGGGAGTTTTTCCTTCTCACTCTCGCCAAGTGCTTCGTCATAGGTTGTCGTCTGATTGTTGGGATTTTCTTTTCTTTTTTCTCTGTACTATTAGAGGCTCCTACAGTGTAAAGCCCCTTGTGGCAACTGTTGTTGTGATTTGGTGCTATATACCGTAAATAAAAGTGAATTGAACTCCACACAACAGAGGAGGTGGATTGTATTTGATGTTAAATTAAAGCTTTGTTCACGACATTATCATCACAGTAATTTAATAGCATTGCAAAGTTGGTTTTATTGCCATATTTAAAAAAAAAAAATTGATGCTGTCCTGATAAACACCGTGTGTTACACCTGATCAGACTACACCTCCTCCTGTATTCTCTTGAGAAAATCGTAGTTGTCGCTTGCCTGTGACCCCAAACCATCTGACGCTGTGGAGGCGTAGTGCGAGCAGTATGCTAGCAAAACAGCGGCGTTAGTCCTCCATCTCTTTCTCTCGACACAAAATGTAGGAGTGTAGGAATTCAATGCTGTGGAAGCCTTGTCTCACATTCATTTTATTGTTCAAATGTCAAATGTCATCAAATGTCAGCAAGTGGACTGAGGTTAAAGGTATGTGGAGATTTTTGACATTCCCACCCTACCTCCACCTCGCTGGCATCCCATGTGTCCTGGACAGACTTGACTCGGCTGATGTGTGGGATGCTCCGGTGAAGGAGCGAGCAGGCCTGGCAAACAAACACACCCAAAGTCAGCGACGCCCAGTCTGGTTCTGCAGGAGAGACAGAGAAAGGGAAGAAGGGAGAGCCGGGGGGGTGGGGGGTGGGGGGGTTAGAGAAATGATGAAGGTAAAAGAGAGAGAGGGAAAAGGAGGAAATGAAATTTGTGAAAGCAGGACAAGACCGTGATACAGAGGGAAAGATACAGGACAAACAAAAAAGGAGGGGTGCAAAAGTCTTGTTATGAAGATGCTTTAACAAAAAGAACAGCAGCTCAAGGTTCAGACTATAAATACTGAAGGTGCTGATGCCAGCGCTGTTAAGAGGTTACAGAGGCAAAGTAAATGAAGCGAATATTACACCAGACTGTGGCTGAGTGAGCTCCTGCTCATAAAGGAGAGCAGGGCTGCAAAATATGATTTTGGGGAAATCCTATTTAGCCTACTGGCAGGAAGCAGACCACCTGAGATCTGATCAGACCTTAGTTACTGTTGCATCAGACACACAAATGCACACACATAAAGACTCTGGGAGAATGTGCAAAACTGAAGAAAAACCACTCTCTCTGCAACGCAGCACAACAGCAGCAGCAGCATCTGTGGGTGGTCAGCCAGGGTGCATGTGAGTCACTGTATCACACACAGGCTGAGTCTGCCCATGCTGATGAAGTGTTCAAAGTCAAGAGGCGTGATGTGCAACGGAAAGAGGAAGACAGAGCAAAGTGAGAAACTGAATGTTAGAATATGAGAAAGAGAAACAAAGAGGATCACACATGTGAATACCACAGATGGGCTGATTGGTGGGTAGCAAATGCAAAGAATCACAATTCAAGTTAGCTGACTGGTAAGACTAAATGACAAGCAATCCTGGCAGCCACAGTTAGTTACTTGGAAGTGATCGTCTTTCTTGTTCCAGTTTCTCAGCTGAAAGTTTGGTATTTTTAGCTGTAGACATGGCAGTGTGCATTTGGTGTTTTTTTTCCACTGAATACTCAAATATCTCAACTTTTAGGCTGATTACTGACAAAAACTAAGGGAGAATAGCGAAGGGATGGGAAGTAAAGGAAGCATCATTTACGAAAAGAAAGTTCAATTCCAGCATCAGGCCGGGGTCTTTCTGTGTGGAGTTTGCATGTTCTCTCCGGCTACTCTGGCTTCCTCCCACAGTCCGAAAACATGCAATTAGTGGGGATAGGTTAATTGATCAATCTAAATTGCCCATAGGTGCGAATGGTTTTCTGTCTCTGTGTGTTAGCCCTTCAACAGACTGTCGACCTCTCCAGGGTGTACCCTGCCTCTCGCCCTATGAGAGCTGGGATAGGCTCCAGCACCCCCCCAAAACCCTGAAGAAAAGGATAAGTGAATGGATGGATGGATGGATGGATGGATGGGCCTGACACAGCACTAAGACCACTTTAAGTGTGTCTGAGGGAAATCCTTCACGTTTTGGTTTCTGTCACTTGGTCTGTGCCATTATTTTTTCTTTTTCTGTTGTTATTTGTGTGCTCTTGCAGCAATTTTCTATTTGCTACTTAAGTTGCAATCTATTTGACCTCTCTGGACCACCGTAGTCTTCTTCCATCGAGCCAGTTACTGTACAATTAAGGTATTGTATTGTAAGTAAACAGTCAAGCAGGGCGAGCTTATTGAGACAAACATGTGAATAACAAGTCCATGAACATTTTTTTAGTCAGAGCCAGTTATTTCCATCTTTTATATACAGTCTGTGCTATCAGTATGCAGTATTAACGAAAACAAAATATATTTTATAAGTTTAAAGGTGATTATATTGGCTAATGTTAGTGTGCAGGTGTGTCATTTATGGATTAAGATGTTGCTAATGGATGCATATGCATGTGTGTGTATACTGTGCTACAGAACATATGCACATCCTAACCTGCATGTGCACAGCTACAAGCGACTGAAAGTACTGAGGGTGCCCTTACTGAGCAACATTCAAAAGTCTTTCTCTCTGTATCTCACTCTCTGTGCAGCTGCTATTTCTTAAATAAAGAGGCCCTCAGCGTGGCGCACCACAGACACACACACATGCACACACAGTGACAGCACTGTGTAATACTCAAGGGAATCATATGAGAGGCAGGGGAACGAAAGGTTGAAGGAGGCAAAAAAAAACAACCCAAAACCCAACACCATTTCTGCATCTCTGTCGTTTCAAGGCTGAAGCGGAAAGGTTTAGAGATTTAGAGATCTGGATGGAAGCGGAGAACAGAGATGAGGGTTTGGAGGACTGGAAAAAGCAAACAGAGGGATGATGTGAGTTCCCCCGAGAGCGCTAGCTGGCATCTGCGATAATCTTCCCCCATTTCATCTCTTTTAACCCATGACAAGCAGGTGATGCTTTTATAAACGTCAAGTCATCCTTTAATCATTCTGGAGTGCAATGAAGCTTCAAGCAGCAGCGCTTTAATGTAAGGGAATCAAACCTCTTCCTTTTTAGGTCTTCGCAACAACAATATAAAAACTCACAGGCACCCACACAAACACACACACACGCACACCAAACCAACCCCTGCTGACATGAAAACATACAACCTGCCATTCGGTGGTGAGGTCATCTCTGTCTGAGTCAGGCCTTACAGAGAAACAGGCAGCACTCAGGGAGATTACTGTGGCCGCATGACTGACTAACAACACACACACACACAAAACCACACACACACACACAACTACACATGCACATACGCAGAGGGCTTTTTCCTCTACATGTACATGAGTGATGTTTCTCAACAGGATAGCTGTGAACAACAGATGCACAGTCGTAGTGAGCAGGAGGTGGAAAATTCCTGATGTAGTGTGACTTTTTTTTCCTTACAGTGCATATGCTGTTTGAGACATGGTTTTTTCTTTAAATGCAGCAGTACTGTGTTGCATCTCTGAGCAACTGTTCAGAGAGAGGAGACAAAAAGCTTTGCAGGAGATCTTATTGGGCTCACCTCTTAGGGAGACACCGGAGCTTTGGACAGAGGATGAATGAATGGGTGAGGGGCATTTATATTCTTACAGTGGCGGCCTGTGACTGTGAGCATCTGCAAGCACTTTCATGCATCTGCAGCAGAGTCATTTGTACAGTATGTCTCATACACATGCCTGTCAGAAGTGGCATTGTGTTGGAGATTAATAGCTAGAAAGTAGGGCCAGCTGAGGTTATGACCCAGTGTGTTGGTTAAAAAAAACAAAACAAGAACAGACACCACAACATGCTTTCATTTCTCTCAGGGGTTTTTCATTTTAAAAAGACAGACGTTCCAGAGGAAATGTCTCTGCAAACACAAATATTGCCCATTGAATCCATTGAATTTGCTCTTCCCAAATCATTGATTCGTGTTTCTTACCTGCTGCCATGGGGATAGATTTTAAGGCTATGACTGTTGGGCAAGTATCATAATTTTCCTTGAGCCACTGTGGGCTAGTGTGGTCACTGTGTGTAGCGTGGTTCACTTAAATAGAGGGCTAACTCTCAAGTCCAAAACACGGGTTTGTTTAAAGTAATTGTTTCACAAAAATTACTCCATCTTTGTTATTGATGGATTACTACCTCATTACTTTTCTTTGCTTTTCATGTTCTTAACTTGAGGACATTTTTTTTACTAATAGATCTTATCCAATGCTAAAGTCTGTTCTAGAAGCAAGTATCACTGCACTGTGTTCCTTTCATTTTAAGGTCACTTGGACATGCTTGGTAAATTCCACTCCCCCCCAACTTCTATTCTGAGTACACGAGTACAAACAAAGGAGGAAATGCATTTGCTGAAATGCCACTGGTTCTAAAACTGAGGGCAATTTCTCTTTTACCAGCTATCAACAGTAATGATTGGTGCACAGAAAATGAACTCTTGGGGTATCTCACAGCTATACTGGACGCCTTCAAACATTGCCCACAGCAATCCAAAACCAATGGGTGAAGGTTGATGCCCATACAGTAGACATTTTTATGGAAGAAACAAAAAAACTATGTAGCTTTTAGTTATAACCTTACTATAACATAAGGTATAAAGATAGAAGTACTAGGCCACACCGCTTTATCTTAGAATTAAAGCTGATTTTGGGCTCATTGGCCCAAGTATACAAAATCATAGCGTAAAAGGGGCATGGGTTTAATACTGAGCCACTTTACACAAGTGGCTCAGTATTTTGATAATGATGATGTCACTATGTCAACCCCTATATTTAGTAGAATAGCTAAATGTATAGCTAATAAATAAATAGCAAAATATTTGTTTCAGAACAATCCTGCTGAGCTTTGTTGGCTAATTCATGCAAGCACACCTTCCTGAAAGGTTACTTTGTCATGTTAATACAATATTTCTACAGTTACCTCATAATCATTGGGTCAAACAGCTTTCTAGAACATAAAATACTTCAAGGATTTTTTTTGTCCTGAATCCCTAAAGGCTGGTGTGTAGTTCCAATAAAGAGGAATTAGCGTTCTGTCTCCCTGAAACTCCCTAAAAAGGAGACTTGGTGAAATCCTTGACAATGAAACGTCTGAAAAAAGTACACTAAGCA